TATTGCGCTCCATCTACCGATTTTCATCGCAGTCGATCGAGAGTTTTTAGACTTTTTATTTTTAGGTTAAGTGCTTAAAACATCAATTAAAACATGAATGCTATAAAATATCCAAGATCCGAGCTTATTTTAGGTACATTCTGGACTAGCAAAATACTAATAAATTAGAATTACAATAAAACATGAAATCATAACACGAGGWAGGTTAGAACAATTTATAACTTCAATATTTTTCTGCAAAGTGGTTTGTTTGTTGAGTAATCCGTAATTTTTGTAGTGTCTTTAAAGTTACAAAAACAAAGTAAAAGGTTGTCCTTATCATTGTCTGCATAAWTTTGCTTACCGCAAAACGTTTCAAAAGTKTCGCACCATTTTTGCCTTTGTTGCATATTGCTCAGAATTTCAAATAATCGAACATTTTTTGCCCCACAAATGAAACACGGTTTTTACCATTTTATACCATTATTTTGTAAAATTGAAGGGCATTGTTTTAAATTGCCGCCAATGTTTATTCGTTAATCGGCCACCGAGGGCGCACAATAAGGTTCTGAATTTTTTGTTTTTATGGCCACTCTGCAGAAACAGTTATCATGGAGAATGAAACGGCCTTATAAGCGCAGCTTTTTGATTCAGATGGCCTTGACCTACAGATGTAACTAATTCCATCTGTAGGCTATCATCATATAACTCTCACCATTGATATTTGAATGTAGTTAATAGAGATAAATACTTTCCAACTTTTCGATCCAAGGTAATTTAATTATTACTTTAGGATTGTGCATAAACGTAAATAATACTCTGCTGATCTATTTTTCGTTTACTCGTTTAACCGAAAATTATTTTTCATTACATTGTAAAAAACATAACAACTGAAATGAAAGTCTCTGAACTCACAAATATTTCAAGTGTGAAAAAGTAGGTACTAGATGATAGATAAAAAAAAGACATAAAAAATGTCAAATGTCAAAAAATAAGTGTCAACATTTTTTTACTGATAGAATTTTTTAAACATTTTTTTCATGTTTCTGGTGATGTCAAATTATCAAATGTTAAATTTCCTAAAATGTATATTTTGTTTTAGAATCTCAAACCAATTTTGTAAGGTTACCATGATTGCATGATTGATTGACTAAACTAAAATCGTTCGTTAATAGAAATTTATTCATTCCCTATAGTTCACTATAGTAGGCATTGGACAGTCAATTTCACAGTAGCAAATTTTATTAGTTTAAATGGCAAGGTATATTTAATAGCTTTTCGTATCATCTGAGTAAAACTGGTTGCCTGCGCATTCGGAAATTATAATTTTTAGTAATATTATGATTATTATAACTGTCATTATCTGAACGCTATCACTTGTCAAACAAAAAGAGCTACGAAGACTATTTTCAGATACGGGATAAAGAAAAATAATAAAACTCTCGTCAAAATAACACAAGTCAAAAATATTCATCAACTACGCTGATTATGCGTATTATCTCCTTGAACACATCCTTCTTAATGGAGCATAGTCGATTACTGATTAAATGAATAGGAGATCAGTGATGGACAGTGAATTTCGTCCACCCAATTCGAACATGCCAGCAGTAAGTTTAATAAAATAAAAATTATCTCTCTGTTACAAGAAGGTATGTCTCAAAAAAAAAAAAAAAATTATACTTTTGGCCTACCAAAAGGCCTACCATTTCAAAGGACAAAGGTAGCAAGAAGCATCGAGCATTCTATCAACATGACAAACGTTAATCAAAATTCTGAAACAAGATTAGGAAAACTTAAAGACTAGTTTACACTTTTAATCTGTTAGGGAAATTGGGTGGACGAAATTCACTGTCCATCACTGTACTTACCAATTTTTGAAGAGATATGATAAATAACGTTAAGTTTACAAGTATAAAAACAAATTTTCATTTTTTCAATAAACATTGTGCAAAAAACAATGTAATCGTTGATTTTTTTATAATGTAGAACTTGTATGACATAAATATAAACATTACAAATTTCAACGGATAAATTACTTAAAATAATATATACAGGGTGAATATAAAGTATGGAACCAAGCGGTTTTATTTTTAATCATTTGGCTCCAGAAAAGAATAATTAATATAAATTAAAGTAATATAAAACATGTGATCGTATTTTCAGAACGAAATTTTGTTTTGTTTTTGAGTTTTGTCAAAATTGCAATTTATGTGAAAAAATTTTTTTGAAAAAATTAAATATAAAGCAGATAGTTGTAATCTTTAGAGTATAGCTTTTATGAGAAAAATGATTTTATAGTGGGTTGCCATTTAAAAAAATATTTTTTGTTGTAGAACTCAAAAACAAAAGGAAATTTCAAAAAATTTTATTCTTGTTAAATCATCACATTTTTATAGTACATTATCACTCATCAACTAGTTTTTTCAAAAAATAAATAGTTTAAGCAAAAAACGTTTGGTTCCATACTTTTTATTCACCTGGTATGTATTTTTTGCACACATGCACTACTTTCATGATTTGTGTTCTAATTCTAAAATAATTTACTGTTACCTAGAATATTAGTGGCGTTTGTAGCTAGAAGAATTTTTTTGACATTAATTAATTTACCAAATTTTCGAAAATTTATTAACAAGTAAAACTTGATATACAAAGAAAACTCATTCTACGAGTACCATTTTGTCTTTTTAATTTGAGACTTACGAAAACAAATTCCATATACAGATTTGTCGTTTCCTATCAGAATATAGGTATATCAAACATAGACAAACAACAAGAAATAGCCGCATGCCATTTATACCACTTTATATCCATACATGATACATTTATAATAGAGTAATTTGAAAATAAAGCATTGCATTAGATTCATATTTTTATTATAAAGTTAAGCATCTCAATAAATCTATATCACAATTATTATTGTAAAAAAAATAATAGCACCAAAATGTCTATTCTAAGCTTCTGTTGTCATTATTCAAACAATGTAAACAATGAAGTAAGCGCATCAAAAATCTTCAAATAGTTTTAGTTCTGAATCTTCTAGCGTTCGGGCAGATTTCCAATCACCTTCCGGATAATCATCGAAATTGCTAGCGTCTCCATCATACATAATTTTAGGAACAATTGGTGGCTAAAATATAAAATAAAATTAATATATGTATATTTCGAGTTGCCAAACATACATTTAATTTTCTCATAATAACGTCATGCCAATCAATGCCTTTAAACCATCTGTGCCGTTTAACATCTTCTGCACCACTCTGAAACATTTTTTTAAACAAGTTGATGAAAATCATTGTATCGTACCTTCATATTTCCTAATCGTTTCGTCCTATCTTGTACTAAAAGTTTTTTTATTAAATCTTTAGCAACTGGATCCAGGTGTTTCGGCCATTCTATTTTTCCACTAAGTATCTTTTCATAAATACCGAAAGGATTGTCGTCATAGAACGGCGGATATCCGGCCAACATCTCATATATTAGAACTCCTGAAAAAGTATACTGATTCATCATCCCCACTAATTTTTACAAAATAAATATTTTTTTTGTACACGCTCCCGAAAAGAGCTGTTTTAGGTCCCTAAAATGAGTTTTTTCCGGACTCAATACAGTAGTAAGTAAATGGTTGCTTTAGGTTCTCAGTGTCCAAAAATATTTTTTTCGGACTAAAAAATAAAATTGGTTACTATGGTGGAGAAATTTTTTTAATTAATAAGAGGTGTTAATTCGTGTTTTGGGAGCTTTAACAAAAAAATGTAACACGTACCTAAAACGTTTTTGCGGACTCATCTGCTAACAGCAACGATTCGTCCGCAAAAACTGTGTTTTGTAACAAGAAGAACTATTTAGTAGATTAATATACAGGCTGCGCCAGAACTCGCGCCCCAGAAAAAAAATTTGAGTATGGTGAGATACCAGGAACAAGGAAAAAATATTTAAAAAATTCTATCTGTCAAAAAATTTTGACATTTATTTTTTGACATTTGACATTTTTTTATGTCTATTTAATAATACCGATGATCTTGTATATGTTTTTTTACAATTATTTAGTAAAGGTACAAAAATTTTGCCAATAGAAGACACAAATAACATTGAACAGAGTTACAATTTAGGATATTGTTTCCTCTTTTAATAGTCTTTAGCAAAAAA